AGCTGCCGCCGCACAGGGGGCACAGGCGGCGGGCAGAGCCGTCCCGGGCCCGCGCCCCTCCCGCAGCAGCGCCTCTGGCGCGGGCATTGTTCGGTGCGGGGCGCCGGGGGAGCAGGGCGACGCACGGGGAGAGCGGGCGAGGGGTGCCGAGCTGCCCGGCCCCGGCTCACCTGCCAGCCTGAGCGCCGACATCCGCTGGAACTCGGGCTCCTGCAGCCACTTCCACATCCTGCGGAAGGTCTCCCGGCCGGATTTGAGCTTGCTCCAGGGCTTGGGGTTCCTCAGCAGGTCGGAGAGGGTCCCTTGAGAGCGGCACAGCACCCTCTGGGCGAAGATGGCCTGGGGGATGCTGTACCGCTTGAGCTCGGTGGTGATCCTCTGAGCTACTTCTTTGGTATTGATTTCTTCCATTTGCCCTGAATTACTCCCACTGTTGACCTGCGAACCAGTGACGGAAGGGTTTTGTTCCCTGCTGGAGCCCAGAATCTGCCCGTGACTCTGGGCATTCAGGTGGGCATGGGGGTGGTGTGGGATCCCGTTGATAGGCACCATGCCAGCGGACGTGGGGGTAAGGTGTTGGTCACCATGCCGGGCCAGCATGGCAGGGTGGTGGGCTTCAAAGCCGTTGGGGGTGAGCATTTTCTCGGCGGGCATGGTGGCACTGGGGTGAGCGTAGTGGGGCAGCCCCTGCTGGGAGTTGTGGATGCCCCCCAGGCCCGATCCAGACAAAGGGGAGAGGCTCTGCCCCATGCCGGTAACATCCTTATGGTAGGGGGTGTAGAGATTGTTCATAGAAGCCAGACCCCGCTCGTCCCTCATGAGGGTGAAGCTGCCACTCACGTTCCCTGGTATCCGCTGGTGGGGGTGGGGGTGGTGGTGGTGGTGGTGGTGATGGTGGTGGTGAGGGAATTTGTCCGACACGGTCGAGATGGGAGGTAGAGGTTGCAAAGGGGTTAACGTGGTGTAGGTGCTGCTCATGCTCATCCCGGGGGGTGTCTCGCAGGCCATGGTCATGGTGGGGTGCAGGGGTCCCGTCAGCGCGTGGTCAGGGGGCCGGTGGTGGTGGTGGTAGTCTCCACCGTCCAGGATGGAAGCCATGCCCATGGAGCGAGGGTGGGCCGGCAAGTGATTGCTGCGATGGGCCACCGAGCTCCTGTGATGGGGGCTGCTGTTCATCAGATCGGCCGTGGTTGGCACCGGCTCATGGCTCACCCCGTGCAGATCGCCAATGTTCTCCATCGTCAGCTGCGCATTCATTGTGATTCGTGCAAGCTTGTGGACAAAACATCTATCTGGTCTGTGGTTGGAAGGTCCTAGGAGGTCTTCGCGTCGGATGCGTGCAGGATTCCTCCCCTGTGGAAAGGATCAGGCTCTTGGGGGCTTGGTTGATTTTGTTGTTGTTGTGATTTGTTTTTGTTGTTTTTTGGTGATGTTGGCTCAGCTTTAAGGCCCCCGTTCCTTTAATACAGCCTCAGCCGCCCCGGTAGGTGTCTGATCGCGTCCCTCGCCATCTCTAGCCATGTCTCTTACTGTTTCAGTGTCTTTGGCCACGGCTCCTGCTGCTGCAGCTGCTGCTGCTGGCGGAGAGCGGGCATGCGCGCCGCGCCGGGCCCCCTCCCCTCCCCCCCCCCCCCCTCCCCCCCCCCC